GCAATGTCCAGAATCACCATAGCTTGTATTGTAGTGCCCAGAATCCCCAAAGCCTGCATTGCAATGCTCAGAATCCCTAAAACTTGCATTGTAATGTCCAGAATCCCCAAAGATTGCATTGCAACTCCCAGAATCCCCAAAGCCTGCATTGCAATGCTCAGAATTCCTAATATTTCCGGGTGGAAATGTTCTAAGAGGGTCTCTCCTTTCTTCTGTTGCCCTCGTAGCTCTTTATCCCTCCCCCAAAAGCTGAGAATTGCCCCGTTTTTAGGCCCACATTGCCGGAATAGCTGGCGTTCACTGAAGCAGATCATGATAAGTCTTTCTGCGGTGGCGGAGGGAGAGCAAAGGGGGAGTGTGAAGGTTTCCTTTGGCCTCCTTTGCCAGCAGGGACTTTATTCCTATTAGTTTTTAAACGTGTGCATTATTTCCAGAGCTTGGACTCCCAAAGTTTGGATAATATGCTTCAGCCACTGAGTTTGGAATGGGGAAGAGAAACCCTCAATGGAAGTCTCAACTTCCCTCCTTTGTCTCCGGTTTGGAAAAGGTGGATGAAACATCTGACTTGCTCCCCGAAATCCCATCAAAAGTACTCTATTTATTATCCATGCATATATATTTGGACCCCCAAAGGAGCTTGGAATGGAGAAGAGGAGCCCTCCATGGAAAACCTAACTTCCCTCCTTTGTGTTGGCTTGGAAACTTCCAACTTGCTCTCTGAAATCCGATGAAAAGTAGTGTTATTTATTATCCATGCACATATGTGCTCACTGTTTGCATCCGGTTGCAATCTCAGGTTGGAAAAGGGGGTGGCTTTTGGAGAGGGGACCCTGTACCCTTTTGCAAAACTAAACCAGGGGCCTTGTTTTGTTATGTTGTGGCCGGTAACTGTATCCATCAAATTGTGGATTTCCTTCCTTCCCTGCCTTTCTGTCTCCCTCCAGTCCTTTGTTTCAGAAAATCCCTACTTTCTTCAGACCAGAAAATGTGGGCCTGGGAGAGGGAGAAAGCAGCACACACAGGGGGAGAGGCATTCCTTTTCTTTGGGCCTGGCATGATCCCCTTTCAATGGGGATCAGTTTCAAGCCTGGCTCCAAAAGCTCTCCCCCTTTTTCTCCTCCTCTGCTTCCCTCCTTCCTTCTTTCTTTCTTTTTTCTTTCTTTCCTAAGGAGGTTTCTTTACCCCCTCCCCACCCTCTTTTTGCTATTTAGGTGAAGAAGTGGTGATAATATGCAGTTTGCATTTTGTTGGCGCCAGGCAGACGGGCAATTTATCTGACGGCCTTTTCCTTAAAGCGCCAGCGCCTCTTTTTTTTGGTAATTTTTCCTTCCCTGGCCTCCTTTTCCACTTTCCAAGCGGCTTCCCTTTTTGCTGTCTAATATGTTTTCGAAAGCAGCCCGACCGGTACTCACTGGTAACACTTTTGTGAAAGGGGGAAAAACACACACAACTATTCCAACCTAAATAATTTCACCTGAAAATTTCCCCCCAAAACAATGACATCCAGATCAGTCTGGGAAGGAAAGAGTCTCCCCAGAAAAGTTTTCTTGCAACACTCTGGTTCTTGTTAACCCGTTTGTGGATTGTGCAAATGTTGTAAGCACTAAGCAGACACTTTTCAAGCCTTAATTTATTTTCTGTGGTTTTTTTCCAAGAAGAGAAAGAAGTATCTGAAGGAGATTGAGAAGTTGTACCACCCGTCTCCAATTATTCTTTGGTTATGTTTTGGTGTGGGAAACCCAACTTTTCCTTAATTGGGTTGCTGTGAGTTTTCAAGGCTGTATGGCCATGTTCCAGAAGCATTATTTCCTGATGTTTCGCCTGCATCTATGGCAGGCATCCTCAGTGGTTTTGAGGTCTGTTGTAAACTAGGAAAATGGGGTTTATATATTTGTGGAATGATGTCCAGGTTGGGAGAAAGAACTCTTGTCTGTTGGAGCTAGATGTGAATGTTTCAATTGGCCACTTTGATTAGTATTTAATGGCCTGGCAGTTTCAAGGTCTGGCTTCTTACTGCCTGGGAGAATCCTTTGTTGGGATTACACATGCTTGTATATTTCAATGGCTTCTCTGTAGTCTGACATGGTAGTCGTTAGAGTGGTTCAGCACTGGGTTGTGGGTGAACTACAACTTCTAGACATGAAGGCCAGTTCCTTCCCCCGCCCCAAACCCCTCCAGTAATCAATTTTTGGCATATCAGGTATGTGTGCCAAGTTCAGTCCAGATCCATCGGTGTTTGGATTCACAGTGCTCCCTGGATGTTGGTGAACTACAACTCCCACAAATCAAGATGAATTTTCCCTAAAGATCTCCAATATTTTTTGCTGGTCATGGGGCTCTGTGTACCAAGTTTGGTTCAATTCCATCTTAGGTGGAGTTCAGAGTGCTCATTGATTGCAAGTGAACTATAAATCCTAGCAGGCCCGTAGCGAGGGGGGGGGGGGTTAGGGGTTCAACCCCCCCCGAAATGTTTCAGATTTTTTTAAAAAAACCTGGTTTACTCATGAATTTTAACTGGTTAACCAAATCCCCATGCTAGGTCTATGAGATGCAAAAAATTAAGAGTCCCTCCAGAACTGCAAGCACTATCTCAAGCAAATATTTATTTATTTATTTATTTAACTTATATGCCGCCACTCCCCTGGGGCTCGGAGCGGCTTGCAAGAACAGGCTAAAATCAAACACAATTTAAAAACAATTTAAAACAATTTAAAAATAACAATATCAGAGATCAAAGTCCCATTGAAACAGATATGTCTTACATGCCCTGTGGAAAGCTGGTAAGTCCCGCAAGGCACGGACTTCAGGTGGCAGAGTATTCCAGAGTGATGGTGCCACTGCTGTGAAGGCTCTGCGTCTGGTTGCTGTTAGACGCAAGGTCTTGACACTGGGAATTTCCAATAGATCTTGGTCCTCAGAACGGAGGGATCTCTGGGGTTGGTAGGGGGTGAGGCGGTCCCTCAGGTACATCGGCCCCAGACCATGCAAGGCCTTAAATATTGACAACTTATTCTCTGGAATACTCTGCCACCTGAAGTCCGTGCCTTGCGGGACTTATCAGCTTTCCGCAGGGCATGTAAGACATATCTGTTTCAACGGGCCTTTGATCTCTGATATTGCTGTTTTTAAATTGTTTTAAATTGTTTTTAAATTGTGTTCGATTTTAGCCTGTTCTTGTAAGCCGCTCCGAGCCCCAGGGGAGTGGCAGCATATAAGTTTGAATAATAAATAAATAAATAAATAAATATTTGCTTGAGATAGTGCTTGCAGTTCTGGAGGGACTCTTAATTTTTTGCATCTCATAGACTTAGCATGGGGATTTGGTTAACCAGTTAAAATTCATGAGTAAACTGGTTTTTTTTAAAAAAATCTGAAACATTTCGGGGGGGGGTTGAACCCCTAACCCCCCCCCCCCTCGCTACAGGCCTGTTGTGTGGGTGTGTTGAATGCTCTCATTAAGGAGGCCAGACTTGGTGGAGGTGGTTGACAAGGGCGGAGCTGCAGGCTATGGAAGGCTGCTCTGCCCCCTGCTGTGCTCTTTGCTTCAGCGTGAGCTAGGAGGCAGGTTTCAACCCCCCCCCCCGTGAAATTTTCAACCCCCCCCCCAAAAAAATGTCAACCCCTCCCGAATTTTTTTTCTGGCTACGGCCCTGCCAGTACCCATAACTTCCAAATGTTCAGGCCAATTATTCTCAAAAACCCATCAGTATTCAAATTTGAGCATATAGCTTATGCATGTCAAGTTTGATCTAGATCCACCATTCTTTTGTTTCAAAGTGCACTCTGGATGTAGGTGAACTACAACTCCTATAAATCCCTCCAAAGACTTCCAGTATTTTCTGTTGGTCATGGGGGTTCTGTGTCCCAAGTTAGTTCCAGGTCCATCGTTGGTGGAGTTCAGAGTGCTCTTAGATTGCAGGTAAACTATACATGCCAGTATCTACAACTCCTTAATCATGGTGAATTCTTCCCAAACCTCTCTAGTATGTTCAGTTGCCGATCCATTCCTCTGTTTTCTGTGTGCCATAGAAGATAATAGGAAAGGGTTAAGGGAGAGGAAGTGCATGGGGCCATGCAAATTCCACATCAATGGGGAGAGTAAGAAACACTGGGATGTCTGTGGTGGAGGAAACACATGAAATCTAGGATGAAATTATCCATGTATGAAAGCCTTCACTTGGGTGGTGAGTAGTATTATGTTTGTGAAGGACATTGGCAGGGCTCTTGGACATGTTCATGGCGCTCGCTATAACCTGCAATGTCATTGGAGGGAGGGCCATTGGTGTCTCCTGAATAGTGGGGATTATAGCTGTTTGTGGAGGCAGAAGCTTGTCTGTGTAAGTGGACACTCCAGCCACATACACACACACATATTTTATTTATTTATTTACAACATTTCTACCCCACTCTTCTCAACTCCCGTGGTTAACCTTGGCAACAATTTGATGCCGCAATATCACAATATAACAACAATATAAAACAATAAATACACAATAGATTAAAAACAATAACATTACTTATACATTCATATAGCCGTTCCCATTATCCTAACAATCATATAGTCATTTTCAATGTCCAAAGTGCTGTCGTGCCTGCTAGCCAAAGCCTGGCTCCAAAACCACTATTTCAGTTTTTTCCTAAAGGAAAGGAGGGAGGACGCCGATCTAATCTCGCTGGGGAGCAAATTCCACAAGCAGGGGGTCACCACCGAGAAGGCCCTGTCCCTCATCCCCACCAGACCTGTTTGCGAGGCCGATGGGACCGAGAGAAGGGCCTTCTCAGTGGATCTTAAACTACGAGGTGGAAGATAGAGGGAGATACATTCGGACAAATAAGCTGGGCCTGAGTCACATATTTTTTCCTTTTATTATATGTTTAGATAGATTGCATTGAAAGTGGATCAAGATATACATCGTTTTCCATCTCTTGGTGACTTCCTTGGTGTCGGAAACATCCATTGGTTCCATAGAGTATTAATGCAAACCTTTCTTCTTTTCCAGAATCACCACCCCCTCCTTACTCCCGGCTGTCTCCAAACAATGAGCAAAAACCATTGGGTAAGGACATTTACACTATCTTTATCATTAGAGAAATGGAAGGTGGAGAAATTGCAAATCCTTCAGCCTTGGAAGCATAGGTTTTTTGGCTTATGATTCAAGATCTGAAGAAAAGCCAGCAATTGATTCCAGTTTTGCAATAGCAAGTCATTGGCTTGAAGTACAAATACAAAGATAGGGATGCTGTTAGTTCGAAGAGTTGGCCAGTTGCATCCAGAGCTAAAAGACTTGCATTCTGTTTAAGATTGCAGAAGTGGAGTTATATATTAGTGCATTTGGTAAGAAAGAAGACGTAAAGGGATCCAGTAGCATCTTTGGGGGGCAACTGAGAGTTTCCATAGCTCCAGACCTGGGCCAACTTTGGCCTTCTCTCCAGGTATTTTGGACTTCAACTCCCACAATTCCTAACAGCCTCAGGCCCCTTCCTCAGCTTAAGCGGCTGAGAGGGAAAAGGAAGGGGCCTGAGGCTGTTAGGAATTGTGGGAGTTGAAGTCCAAAACACCTGGAGAGAAGGCCAGAGTTTGCCCAGGCCTGGCTTAGTCTCATGAAGTGGACTGAGACCCTATCTGCAGTCACTGAACTGCATTATATGGCATTGTGGACTTATGTTATGCAGTTCAATGCACTTAAATTGCATTATGAAACCAAAATATTGGGCAGTGTAGATGGGGCCTGCAGTGTGCAGACTTTATTTTTTTTTTCTCCCAGTCCTCATCTACACTGCCATATAATGCAGTTTGGAACTGCATTACGTGGTAGTGTAGATGGGGCCCCAACAAGTCTCAAAAAGGTTACTTTTATATCAAAAGCAGACTAATGAGGGATCCCTTTTTTGCTTTTTGTGTCTTTTATGCTTTCGGTGCTTTGCGCTAAAGGCAAAGGCCTGGCACAATAAATGCATGCACTATTGAAAACAATAGTCTTTCAATTGTAATTCATACGGATTTTAGCATTGCGAGCTAAATAATAATAGTAATAGTAATAATAATAATAATAATAATACATCACACAGTCCTAGACACTTGGGAAGTGTCCAACATGTGATCCAATATAGCATGTATGCATATGTTTTATGTAAATATGATGTTATTGTTTATTGTTCGAGTTTTTGGTTTGTGTTTTGTTTTTTTCTTTATTGTAATTGTTGTTTGGGCTTGGCCTCATGTAAGCCACTCCGAGTCCCCAGTGTGATGATGATGATTATTATTATTATTACAACAGCCAGTAGAATGATTTTGTCTGCTGTGGACTCATCTTGTTGTGTATCAAATGATGATGATGATGATGATAATGATGATGTTGTGGAATGCTTTCATGGCTGGAATCACTGGGTTGCTGTGAGTTTTCCGGGCTGCCTGACAGTGTTCCAGAAGCATTCTCTCCTGTCGTTTCACCTACATCTATGTCAGGTATCCTCCGAGGTTGAGAGGTCTGTTGGAAACTTGGGGTTTATATATCTCTGGAAGGATGTCCAGGGTGGGAGAAAGAACTCTTGTCTGCTTGAGGCAAGTGTGAATGTTGCAGTTGGCCACCTTGATTAGCTTTGAATGGCCTTGCAGCTTCAAAACCTGGCCATGAAAACAAACAAAATTTGACTACCAGTATTAAAAAAAACTGTAAAATCAGGACAATAAATAAGAAACAACACTCATAAAGCAGGGGAATTCCAGGCAGGAAACAATCAGGGACAGCATACAGCTCCCAACAAACAATTCCCCTAGGCAGGAAGCAGCCAGGCTTTGAAGCTAAAAGGCCATTCAGTGCTAATCAAGGTGGCCAATTGCAACTTTCACACTTGCCTCAAGCAGAAAAGAGTTCTTTCTCCTACCCTGGGCATTCCACAGATATATATAGGATTCCCCCAGGCAGGAAGCAGCCAGGCTTTAAAACTGAAAGGCCATTCCATGCTAATCAAGGTGGTCAATTGCAACATTTACACTTCAATATGAATGGGTTCCTTAGTAAGCTCAACAAAGATCCCACTTTTACAGAAAATAGAAAATAATAGAATTCAACATATAATTGTATAAAAATGGCCAACTGCAACATTCACCCTAGCCTCAGGCAGACAAGAGTTCTTTCTCCCACCTTGGACATTCCATGTATAAATCCCACTTGCCTAGTTTCCAATGGACCTGACCTCTGGGATTGCCTGCTATAGATGTGGGTGAAATTTCAGGAGAGAATGCTTCTGTAACATGGCTGTACAGCCCTGAAAACTCACAACAACCCAGTAATAATGTGTTGGGTGCAGAAAACATTGGCAATGAAGAATGTAGCCTCTGGAACAATGCTTGACCTGAAGGCTGGCTTAGTTTGGATAGATCATCACTGGCAAAATACATTTCTGCTCTTATAACTTGATCGCTTCCAGTCTCCTTAAATCTACCCTTTAGAGCCAGGGAAAGGTATTCTCTTGGTATGGATGAAGGGAAAAAGCAGCCAAAGAAAGCCCAAACCTAGCATTGGTTTTGAAGCTACATTTTCTAATTAAAGGGGTGTAAGTCTTTGTGGAGAGAGAGAGGCGGAACGAGAGAGAGAAAGAGCAATGCAAGGCTTGAAACTTGTTAAAACAAAGTTTTTCTCAGTTCCAGCCGGGGAGGAAGGAAGGAAGGGAACAAGAAGAAACAGCTTCAAGAATTTTAATAGTGATAATTAAGTATAGGAACGATGAATTGTCGGGAGCTGAGTGTAACCTTAGCCGGGGAGCTCCAAGTCACTACTCGCCAAAGGGATTTTGGAGGGGAAGAGCAAAGCTTCCACCTTGGTCTTCACACGGCAAGAAGTAACTGGTATCTAAAGGTGCATCCATACTGTAGAGTTAATGCGGTTCGACATCACTGGCTCAATGCTATGTATTGGGTGAGGCACCAATGCTCGTTGGCAGAGAAGGCTCAAGAGCACATCGAACTACAACTCCTCTCATCCCATAGCATGAGTGGTATCAAACTGTTAATTCTTCAGTGTAGCTCAGGCCTGGGCAAACTTGGGCCTTCTAGGTGTTTTGGACTTCAACTCCCACAATTCCTAACAGCCTCAGGCCCCTTCCTTTTCCCCCTCAGCTGCTTAAGCCACTTGGAGTGTCTCTGGTACCACTGTAAGAAGGTTCGCACGTGACAGGGCTCAGACTGCATTGTAGTAGGTGGTCTGTGGTTTAATCTTCTCCATACTCGCATGTTGTGGACTCTACTTTGTGGCCCCATTTCTTAAGGTTGGCTCTGCATCCCGTGGTGCTCTGCATCTCATCTGGTCTCAGCCACTGATTAAGGTGCTGGGTTTTAGCCTGCCACTTTTGGACTCTTGCTTGCTGAGGTGTTCCTACGAGTATCTCTCTTGATCTTAGGAAGCTGTTTCTTGATTTAAGGCAGGGGTCCTCAAACTTTTTAAACAGAGGGCCAGGTCACAGTCCCTCAAACTGTTGGAGGGCCGAATTATAATTTGAAAAAACATGAATGAATTCCTATGCACACTGCACATATCTTATTTGCAGAGCAAAAAAAACACTTCAAAACAATACAATAACGAAGAACAATTTTAACAAATATAAACTTATTACTATTTCAATGGGAAATGTGGACCTGCTTTTGGCTGATGAGATAGGATTGTTGTTGTGTGCTTTCAAGTCGTTTCAGATTTAGGCTGACCCTGAGCGAGGGCCGGGTAAATGACCTTGGAGGGCCGTATCAGGCCCCCGGGCCGTAGTTTGAGGACCCCTGATTTAAGGTGTTGGCATATTGGCTGATATCCGAACAGAGGATGGGCCGGAGATGTCACTGCCTTGGTCCTCTCATTATTGCCTGCTACTTCCCGGAGGATGTCAGGTGGTGAAATATCAGCCAAACAGTATAATTTCTCAAGTGATGCAGGGTGTGGACACCCTGTGATAATGTGGCATGTCTCATTAAGAGCTACATCCACTGTTTTAGCCTGGTGAGATGTATTCCACACTGGGCATGTATTCAGCAACAGAGTAGCAAAGCACAGGGGCAGATGTCTTCACTGTGTCTGGTTGTGATCCCCAGGTTGTGCCAGTCAGCTTTCATATGATATATTTCTAGCACCCACTTTTTTGCTTGATATTTAAGCAGTGCCTCTTGTAAGTCAGAGCACAGTCCAGAGTGACTCCCAGGTATTTGGGTGTGCTGCAATTCTCCAGTGGGATTCCTTCCCAGGTAATCCTCAGAGCTCGAGATGCTTGTCTGTTCTTAAGGTGAAAAGCACATTAGGAATCAGCTCATTTTTCCTGTAATAGGCAGTAAGAGCCTCAGATGATTCGGTGTGTATTAATAACTATATTTCATGGGTGAAATGATTTCAAACATTGTGTATAAAAAGGACCTTCATGCTGGGTGCCAAAGGTGCATATCGAAGACCCAGGAGTGTTGTGCTTCGACTTCCATCTCAAGGCCATGATGTCTCATTACACTATGTAACAAAATTAGAAAAATGTTCTGCTCCTTGTTTGAAAGTGTTATTGCCTGTTTCATTGTGCGTTCTTTACTTTGAAAGTCGCTGTTCTAGTCCAGAAATTTTGTTTTTTGTGGCTGCCACAAATTAGGTTGAATGGGTTGAGACTCGATGAAATATTCATTCTACTTGAGAAACTTCATTTTTGTGCCACAAACTATGTAGAGTTGTGTTATCAAAGGTTTGCATGGCTGGAATCACTGGGTTGCTGTGAGTTTTTTGGGCTGTATGGCCATGTTCTGGAAGCATGGCCATACAGCCCGGAAAACACATCAACCCTATGTTGAGTTGATCGAATCTTGATGATGAGATCGTCATTGAAAAACTATCGCCTAATGTGCTGCAGGATGTCCCTCCCACAAAAGCAAAGTTTTGGCAGTTTCATAAACTTTCCCCATGTTTTTATGATAGAACCAATTAGGAAATGATATTTATAACCCAGGAACAACATTTGTGTTACATAGTGCAATAGGGATGCTTCCCCACGAATGCTCTTCTCAGTTTGGGACTTCTAGCGCTGCCACAATTGGCTTCTCACGCTCCCATATCTCCTCCCGCTTCCTCTTTATTGGAAGTGGGTGGGCTGTACAACTTCCCACATCTTGTAGAAAGCTGTGAGAAAGAGACAGCTCTGGAGGATCCCAATGTGGGCTTCATTAGTTGCATTCCTTCATCAGGAAGGACAAAAGATGTTCTTGGATGGCGGCAGAGGAACACACAGGAGTTTCGAAAGTGGCGTTCCCGTTGCTTGTGCGGGTGCAACCAGATCCCATCTACACTGCTCATATAACACAGTTCCAAAATTAAGATTCACTGGATTATATGGCAGGGTAGAATCATAGAGTTGGAAGAGACCTCGTGGGCCATCCAGTCCAACCCTCTTCTGCCAATAAGCAGTAAAATAATATTCAAAGCACCCCCAACAGATCATAGAATCATAAAATAATAGAATCCTAGAGTTGGAAGAGACCTCGTGGGCCATCCAGTCCAACCCCCTGCTAAGAAGCAGGAAAATTGCATTTAAAGCATGCCCGACAGATGGCCATCCAGCCTCTGCTTAAAAGCCTCCAAAGCCTCCACCACACTCTGGGGCAGAGAATTCCACTGCTGAACAACTTTCACAGTCAGGAAGTTTTTCCTAATGTTCAGATGGAATCTCTTTTCTTGTAGTTTGAAGCCATTGTTCCACATCAGATGGCCATCCAGCCTCTGTTTAAAAGCCTCCAAAGAAGGAGCCCCCATCACACTACAGGGCAGAGAGTTCCACTGCTGAACAGCCCTCACAGTCAGGAACTTCTTGCTAATATTCAGGTGGAATCCCCTTTCCTGTAGTTTGAAGCATTGTGCTGCCTCCTAGTCTCCAGGACAGCATAAAATAAGATTGCTTCCTTCTCTTTATGACTTCCCCTCACATATTTATATATGGCCATCATGTTGCATACACTGCATTTCAAGCTCCAAAGGATTTGCTTGTGGGTTTTAGTTTTGAATCTGTTTTTGTGGATTTTAGCTGTGATTTTTTAAAATGCCATTGATGTTCCATTCTGTTTTAATGTTTGCATGGTTGTAGCTTTTGAATTGTGTTGGAGTGCTTGAAATGTAAACCGCTTTGACTCTCCTTGTGGAGTGAAAAAGCAGGGTATAAATAAACATAGTAAACATAATAACAACTCTTTCGTCTCCTCATTCTTCCTAGACCTTTCCGATTCCACCTTGTCCTACACTGAAACGGAGGCTACCAACTCGCCCAATCTCACTCTGGGAGAATTCTCAGGTTGGTCAACATTTTAACTTATTGAATGCAATCCGTGTCATGGTATCGTGAGATTAAAATCATGAATCTTCAAAACAAAATGGAGCTAGTTGGTCATCTCGGAGAGACTTGGATCAAATGCTCAAGAGCTTCAGAACGATCCCAAAGACCATAGTTTTCTTTGTTTTTTTTTGCGGCACAAGGCAGGCTTTACCTAAAGTAAAATCTAGGATCTCTTTAGATGGGTTTTGAAACCATTATATTGAATTGTGTATTTTTTATTTTGGGTTTGTTTTAATTTTTTTAAAAATTGTGCAGTTGTTAGCCGCCTTGAGTCCTAACAGGGAAGAAGGCAGGATATAACAGGGAGGAAGGAAGGCCAAGAAGAACTAGGGACCTGGCCAAGGGGTGCCGGTTTGTTGTCCACGGGCCCTAGAAGCGGGGTCCTTGTTTTGATTGGCCCATTCTAGTGAATGACACTGGGACCTTTTTGGGGCACAGACCTTGAGCTACTGAATTATTAAGCACTTTAATCCAGCACTGAGACCAAATGGGTCATTAGAATTTGAGACATAGAAAGCCATTCAGCACTGTAACTCTAGCACTTTAATCCTGCACTTTAGTTTGCCTGGGTTGCCATAAGCTATTAACTGGTCCAGAACCAATAAGTTGCTGTGAGGTGTGTATTTTAGCACTGTAGCACTTTACTACAGCACTGTGAATTCTAAAATCGCCTGATGTCATCGCTGTTGTCACTTTTGGTAACGCTGATAGCCCTCCCTGCTAATACTGCCCAAATGCACTTTATTGAAAGCAGGGATGGGGGGGACCCTAGGGGTTCAGAGATTTATAACCACAACAATGTCTGTTATGATTATTATGCATTAACATCTGATTATTATGCATTAACATCTGATACTGCAAGTGAGGAAGTGAGAGGGAATTCCCCTGGGACGGGTGGTTCTATGGGTGTGGGGGCTGCTATAGAGGTGGTGACAGGTAGAGGAAGATACGGGAAAGGGAGAACAAACTACCCAATTCGATCCAAAATTTTTAGCAATAATCTGGCAAACCTAAAATGTTCTAAGAATGTAAGACAAAAACCAATCCGGCCCAAAATTTACAATAGAACATTGGCAATCCCAAAGATTACCCATATTACAACCTCACAATCGATTCGGCCTGAAAATGATAGGAACATATTGGCGATTCCAAAAAAAAATCCTCCCGACAAGATACAGCTGAGATGTCAGGATGGTGGTCCTTCTGGGCTGAGGGTGGTGCTGTTCAATGCCAGGTCGGTAAATGGAAAGTCCTCCATTATTCGAGATCTAATTCAGGAGGAACAGGCCGACCTGGCATGTATAACAGAGACCTGGCTGGACGAGGGGGGAGGTGTGAATCTCTCCCAGCTTTGCCCGCCAGGTTACTCTGTCCAGCACCAGCCAAGGCCCGGAGGGCGGGGAGGAGGAGTGGCAGTGGTCTATAAGGCTTGTATTCCCCTAATCAGGTGCCCCATCCCACAATCATCTACATTTGAGTGTGCCGGTTTCAGGTTGGGTGACCGGGACAGGATAGGGATTCTGTTAGTGTACCGACCACCCCGCTGCATGACAGTCTCCCTACCTGAGCTAGCAGGAGTGGTCTCGGACATGGCGTTGAGCTCCCAGCGACTTATAGTCCTGGGGGATTTCAATGTCCATGCCGAGACTGCTCTGTCAGGTGCAGCTCAGGACTTTATGGCCGCCATGACAACCATGGGCCTGTCCCAACTAGTATCTGGTCCTACCCATACCGCCGGACACACACTGGATTTGGTCTTTTCACAGGGATGGGGTGATAGTATCGGAGTGGAGGAGCTAACCATCGCTCCTTTGTCATGGACCGATCACTACCTGATTAGGTTTAGACTGACTGCTCCTCCCAACCTCCGCAGGGGTGGTGGACCCATTAGAATGGTCCGCCCCAGGAGACTTATGGATCCTAGTGGTTTCCTGACGGCTCTTGGGGAATTTCCCACCTCCCTGGCTGGCGACCCTGTCGATGCCTTGGTCTCTCACTGGAACACCGAGATGACTAGGGCAATCGACACAATCGCTCCAGAACGCCCCCTGTCGAGTAACCGAGCTAACCCGGCTTCTTGGTTTACTGAGGAGCTGGCAGCAATGAAGCGAAAGAAGAGGTGGCTAGAGCGCGTGTGGCGCAGAAACCCGACTAAATCAACCCAAACACATCTGAATGCCTTTTTAAGGTCCTACGGTGTGGCAATAGAGGCAGCACAAAAAACATCTTTCGCTGCCAATATTGCATCTGCGAAGAATCGTCCAGCTGAGCTCTTTCGAGTTGTCAGGGGTCTGTTAAATCCGCCGAAAAGTGAGATCCCGGACAGCTCGGGAGCTCGCTGTGAAGCGTTTGCTCGATTTTTCGCAGATAAAATTGGGCGGATCCGGTCGGGTTTCGACACCACTTTATCTGCAGTCTCTGAGAATGTAACGAGAGCATCTGCTTGTCAGGTTTTGTTGGATTCTTTTCAATTGGTTCAGCTTGAGGATGTGGACAGGATCCTTGGAGAGGTGCGGCCTACCACATGCATCCTAGACCCCTGTCCATCCTGGCTTATAAAAGAAGCCAGAGGGGGTTTGGCGGAGTGGGTGAAGGTGGTGGTTAATGCCTCCTTACAGGAGGGCAAGATTCCAGCGAGCTTAAAACAAGCTATTATCAAACCGCTGTTGAAGAAACCATCACTGGATCCCACTCAATTAGACAACTATCGGCCAATCTCCCCTATTTGGGCAAAGTCATGGAACGTGTGGTGGCAACACAACTCCAGGGATTTCTGGTAGACACTGATTATCTTGATCCGGCACAGTCTGGCTTTAGACCGGGACATGGAACGGAAACAGCCTTGGTCGCCTTGGTAGATGATCTTCGCAGGGAACTGGACAGGGGGAGTGTGTCCCTGTTAGTTCTGCTGGACCTCTCAGCGGCCTTCGATACCGTCGATCACGGTATCCTTCTGGGACGACTCATGGAAATGGGACTTGGGGGTACTGCTTTGCAGTGGCTCCAGTCATTTCTTGAGGGACGGTCCCAGAAGGTGTTACTGGGTGACACCTGTTCGGCTCCACAACCATTGTCGTGTGGAGTCCCTCAGGGATCTATTCTGTCCCCAATGTTGTTTAACATCTACATGAAGCCGCTGGGGGAGATCATTCGGAGTTTCGGACTGCGGTGTTATCTCTATGCGGATGATGTCCAGATCTGTCACTCCTTTCCACCTGTCACCAAGGAGGCTGTCCAGACCTTGAATCGGTGTCTAGCTGCTGTGTCGGACTGGATGAGAGCTAACAAATTGAAATTGAATCCAGACAAGACAGAGGTCCTACTGGTCAGTCGTAAGGCCGAACAGGGTATAGGGTTACAGCCTGTGCTGGATGGGGTTACACTCCCCCTGAAGACGCAGGTTCGCAGCTTGGGAGTGATCCTGGACTCGCCGCTGAGCCTGGAACCCCAGGTCTCGGCGGTGGCCGGGAGAGCTTTTGCGCAATTAAAACTTGTGCACCAGTTGCGCCCGTACCTTGGGAAGTCTGATCTGGCCACGGTGGTCCACGCTCTTGTTACATCCAGACTACTGCAACGCACTCTACGTGGGGTTGCCCTTGAAGACTGTTCGGAAACTTCAACTGGTCCAGCGAGCGGCAGCCAGATTGCTTACCGGAGCGACATACAGGGAGCACACCACCCCCCTGCTGTGTCAGCTCCAATGGCTGCCGGTTCAATTCCGAGCACAATTCCAGGTGCTGGTCTTAACCTACAAAACCCTATACGGTTCTGGTCCAGTGTATCTGTCCGAACGTATCTCCCTTTACGTCCCACCTCGGAGTTTGAGATCATCTGGGGAGGCTCTGCTCTCGACCCCACCACTCTCACAAGTGAGGCTGGTGGGGACGAGAAGCAGGGCCTTCTCAGTGGTGGCCCCCCACCTGTGGAATTCACTCCCAGGGGAAATCAGAACAGCACCAACCCTCCTCTCCTTTAGGAGGAGGGTGAAGACATGGCTGTGGAACCAGGCTTTTGGGCAACCAGGCAATTAGATAAGACAACCAAATAAGACAATCAGATGTGTAAGATCAGCAGGATTGTCGAAATGGAACCAAAACAGACCCTTGAGTTAATGTACACTGATGGGTAGGAGGAAGATCTAGGTTTGTATTGTTTTATTGTTTTTATCATTTTATTGATCTTATTGGATAATGCTGAATTGTGGGAATTTGTATCGTTGTACTTTGTGATGATTGTTTTGTATGGCAGGTGTCTAAGTGCGCCTTGCAGCTGTAGGCCGCCCTGGGTCCCCTTCGCTGTGAGAAGGGCGGGGTACAAGAACCCCAAATAAATAATAAATAAATATATAAATATTATTATTTACACTATGTAATACAGGAGTCGCAGTGGCACAGTGGGTTAAACTCGTGTACTGGCTGACCTGCTGACCTGAAGGTTGGTGGATCAAATCTGTGAGGTGGGGTGAGCTCCCACCTGTCAGCTCCAGCTTCAGGCAATGGGGTGAAGTGTCAGTGAAAAATATGTGGTGTTTGTGTTTTGAAGTGGGATCCCATGTTCCAGATTTCTTCTTTGTTATGTCCCAGTATTTGGAGATCTGAAAAAAAAAACCTGGTCCCTACCATTTCAGATATGGACACCCTGGTAGCATAGTGGGTTAAACCACTAAGCTGCTGAACTTGCTGACCGAAAGGTTGGTGGTTTGAATCCAGGGAGTGGGGTGAGCGCCTGCCATTAGGCCCAGCTTCTTCCAACCTAGCAGTTTGAAAACATTCAAATGTGAGTAGATCACTCCGGCTGGAAGATAACAGCGCTACATGCTGGCCACATGACCTTGGAGGCGTCTACGGACAATGCCAGCTCCTTAGCTTAGAAATGGAGATAAACACCACCCACAGAGTCAAGCATGACTAGACGTAATGTCAGGAGAAACCTACCTTTACCTTTTTTATCATTTCGGA